TTGCATAAAGAAAAGTGGAATACTGAACTTTGGGTCCAGACAGGCAGAAACAGGTAATAAAAACAAAATCTGACTTGCACTGACAAAGTGTTGTGGAGGACGCTGTTTTCACCTTGAAACACAGAAGGAGATGGGCCAAGGCATTGAAAAGAACAATAAAGGAAAGCATAAATAAGGAATGTGTTCATCCAAACAGCATAACATAAAATAAAAACTAAATAAACACAAAAGCCCAAACTACCAGCTGAATTACAAATTGTCCTCCAAGGAAGAGGTGAAGACAGTCAGCAGGAAGATGTGGGTCAGCTCTGTCTCCAGCTGGGCCCTTGCAACGGCCACCATCGCCCTGACAGCCTCCCAGGGCCCCACATCCTCTGCAGTGGTCTGTGAAAGGACACAAATCTTTCCCCATCCTCAGGGCATGCGCAGGGCCAGGTTTGGCTGATTTTAATCAGTTGGCCAGACGGAAGAAAACACTCTGCGAATCCAGACACCTGGCTGGAGAAGGCAGAACACACCCTCGTCTTTAGCATGCGGCCTCTTTCTTAGTTCCTAATATCATCTCTCATCTCTGCAAACTAGAGTTAGCTTTAAGCACACCATGAGTTCTCAAAGCTCAGGATAAAACAAAGAGATGGGGTTCTCCCTTTCCCTTGCACAGACCCCCTTCATGTTCTGGTTCCCATGAAGATGGCTTTGAGCCATCTTCTTCCTTGGCTTAGAATGGGAGTGTTCCCTTCTGCAAAGCTCCACCTACTCCTGCAGAGCGAGCTGGCCCACCTCACCTATTCAGAATCACAACTCAGCATACAGCTAAGAAGACAAAGCTTATGCAAGGTCAAGACACCATGTCAGCCTCCAGGGTTATTTTCTGGAAGCAAAGCCCTTCTGCCCACCCTTGCTGCCAGCTGAGCCTGGGAACCTCCACTTTCCCTTGGGTAAGTGATCCCAGAATACAAGGTTTTTAGTCCATGTTTAAGTGGTGAATGGAAAATGCAGTGTCAGGGGCTATGACGAATGTGGCTGTGCCCTCAGAAGCCCATATCCTTTCTAAGAAGATGAGACTAACCCACAGAAAAAAAAAGACTGAAAATAGAAAGCACAGCCCCAGCACACAATGCTTTGGTCAGGTCTGCAGGTGGCATCAGAGCCAGGGTCTGAGGTGTCCTTTTGTGCGTAGCTGGGTAAGGCCAGCCGCACAGCAGGAAAGCCTGGGTCACTCCATGCTTAGAAGGGGTTGCTGTGATGGAAATGGGGGCCACTGCCCTGGGCATCACTGGGCTTGGGAAGGAGGAGAAGGCTCTAGCTGTGGGCAGGGTCCTTCACTCTGCAACAGCTCTCAGCAAAAGCCGGCTGCAGCCTGGGCTGGGCGATGCACTGAAGGGGAGCTGGGGGTGGCGGGTGCCCTGCTGGTGATGGATTGCATTCACTGTGCTGCAATCCCCTCCTGCCTGAAGGGAAATGACTTAGAACAGGTACAAGAATTCAAACTGCCAAACTGCATTTGCTCGGTGACTCAAGTTGTTTGTGAGAAGCCAGTTTGGGAGGGGCCTCTGTTCTCCCGGGGAATTACAGCAAATCACATCTGGTGAAGGCACGCAGCCCCCTCTCAACTGGGTCTGAGGGGTTTGGGGCTCCCTGCAGCTCATCGCCCTGTCCTACAGTCTTGTTTCCAGAGTTTCTGTGTCACCGCCTTCTCTGAGAGTCACACCGTTTTCCTCACATTGTTCACTGAAGCTGTGAATGGCCTCCTCTCTCTGTGCACCTCTCCCATATACAAAGTTCAGGATTCACCCCACACTTGTTCCAAGAAAAGGCAACCTCTCCCTGCAGGGCATCTGGCGACCTTTCACAGTTAGGTCAAACTGCACCTCTGCAGGTAGCAAACAGTCCAATAAACCACAGTTCACACTAGTTTGCTGTGCAGAGCTGAGAGAAGGGGCTGGACAAGGAGCACACCTCTGGACCAGTTGAAGTCTGTTCTTCCCTGGAGAAAGGGGCATGCCAGCAAAGAGACTGCAGCCCTGAGCAGGGGGGGGAAGAGAGGAGAGGACCCAAGATGGGAGGGTCGGAAAGGAGGGTTTCTGAGAGGAGGAATGAGGTTGACTGTTACAATGGAAGGAAGAAAGAAGGTTCCTGCCCAAGTTTGGGGTCCAGGACAGGAATGGCAGGAAAGCATTGTGACCACTGCCACCCAGAGAGCCTGGAGAGCCGCCTATGATCTGTCTGAAAGGCCACAAGGGCAACGACAAGTAGGAGAAGAGCAGACAGCAGGCAAGCTGGAGGGAGGAGACTCAGACGCAGAGCCCAGGGTCAGCCTCTGCCTCTGCGGAGGCCAGATGAGGC